GAACCATCTGAGGACCAGACACCTATAGTTGAATCCCCAGCATCACTGGATGACTTACCTGGGGTTAAAACACCAGCATCTGCAGACCCACCATCTATAGTGGAATTGCCAGTGTCTGCAGACCAGCTGGTTGTTGAGAAACCACCAGGTTCTGAGGACCTGTTACCTGTCATTGAATTTCTCGCATCTGGTGAAAACTCAGATAAGATTAGGTCACCTGTGGGTGAACAGCCAGGTTTCAAAGTCAGGAGGCACATGTCTGACTCTGCACAGGCTGGCAGTAAAACACCTGGGGCTCAGTCGTCAGCAACTGTAGTCAAGCCAACAGAGACTACATGTGAAATATCGGAGCAGCCAATGGTGTATGAAGACCCCTTTGAAGTCTCCATTAAGTACATGGAGAAACACAATATTCAGCAGATATTTCAGGTGAAATTTCTCTTTCCTTTCTCCCTCCAGAGGCTTGCTTGAGAAGCTTGGCCTGAAGTTAGCTTGGACTAAATTATCCCTTCCCCAGATCCCTCCTTGTCCTGTGCTTTCTTAAGCATAAACTCTAAGAAAAGCAGTAGAAAAGGAGCCTTGATCATCTTTGGGGTTTGAAAGAGATGCTTGCTTTTTAAAATACAGCTAGTGTTGCAGCAGAAAGTGCAGCCACCGATCTGCCCAAGGATCAATACTTCTTTCCTCCTGTCTGTCTCTGTCTCAGGACATCACAGAAAAACTGGTGTACCACAAGCCTGATGACCCCTTGCAGTTCATGTTGCTGCAGGTATGATGTCTTGCTGGGGCTCAGTGGGGACTGTCTTAGTAGAAAGCCAGCTTTGCTGAGCACACCAGAAATATGGTCAACCCGTGACCATTTCTCTCACTGTGTGTCTGCTCACTTGCGAGAAAGAGAAGCATGGGGCAGGAGCAGAGTGCCCAGAGTGCAAGGAACGACATGTGGTCTAAAAGGAGAAGGAGGAGAAGTATTGGAGGGTGGGTGTGTGGAAGACCCCGTTGTTGGGGAAGAATGGGGTACTGGACGAGTGTTATCTGAGAGGTGAGGGAAGCTTAGGGATGGAGATAGGGCTTGTCTGTGTCCCTGTGACCCTTCTCCAGCTCCCTCTATCCCACACTTGTAGGGAACACTTTTCCTGCCCACACAACCCCTATTCTGGAGAGCTGTCTCTGCTGATCCTGCAGGGTATTAAAACACAGGAAATTGAAAGTCAGTGGGGTGAGGCAATAGTTTGGGAGTGAGTCAGAAGTGTGGGGAGATCCTTGGGGAAGGGAGAAGGTTAGAGGAAAGAAAGCAGACAGAGAAAGAGTCTTTTCCTTCACTCCCCTCTAGTCAGTCAAGGGAAGCACCACCTTTGTGATTTGCTGCTGGCTTTATGCTGTGTCTAATGCAGACCCTGTAGAGAAATGGCAAGGTTGGTTCTGAGCGCCAGTGGTAAGGAAACAGGCTCCCAAATGACCGTTTTCCTTTTCCTTTTGCCCAGGTGCAGTCTATGATAAATGCCAGGCAGGCAGAAATGGAGGGAATATTGGAGGAGAATGAAGATGCAGAGGTGTTTCTGGAAGAGGCTGTGTATGCTCCTTTTGGCTCCTACTGACCTTGCTTTTGTGGTATTACATGGGGCCTTCACAGCAGCATGCTGTTGTAGTCATTGACAGTAACTTGGAACACATCTGCTTGTATCTCTGTTTCCTGACTTTTCTGTTCTGTATGCATGTGCTTCCCCTTCGTTTTAAATCCTGCAACCAAGTATTGGTTTGGATGCACAAACTCAAATCTTAAAGTGTGCATGGACCTGCACACCTATGGCACACCTTGAAGAGGCAGGTCTGCTGAACTCCTACGTGGACTGTGCGTACAAATGCACAAATACAACATTTATGCCACTGCTAGATGCTGCTTTTCCACGCAGAGAAACCTCACATCTCAGACCACAGAAGCAGAAAAACAAGTAGAATTAAGAAGCAGCACTGGACAACCCACAGTCCTTTTTTGTTTTCCATGCTGCCTTGGTTGCTTACTGTCTCCAGCTATGCAGCAGCGCCGATGCCCATCTAATACTTTGAAAGGCTGGGTCTGTGGCTTTCCCACTGCCCCCAGAGTTCCTTCGATGCAAGAAGGTGTCTCTCCGCCTCTTCCACACACTGAGTGCAGCTGTCTCACCTTTAACCATCCCTTCTGGGTTCTGATCAATCTGCTTTTTGGGGTTGCCCTGCTTGTATCATTTAAAGTACAGTGTATATTTTGGTAAGTAGAACAGTAAAGCAACAGTTGCATCTGCCCTCTGTGGCTTCAGAGATGTTGTCACTCAGGAATGTAGGAGGTGAATAAAACTAGACAAACCAAAACCAAGCACTGGTAGCCCAGGAAATTCAGAGTTGAGGTACACTTTGCAAACATGTCATTTGAACTGCTTTTGATTCTCAAAACACTTACAATCCTCATTTTCATACTATCCAAGTGTCTGTTTCCACTCTGTAAAGAAACTTTGTCTTTCTTTTTCTTATCTCTTGCCTGAAGATTATTGAAAATGTGCAACAGAGCATGCTGTTACTTTGGCTTCATTTAATGTGTATGTGCAGTAGATGCCAGAAAGTTTTTTGTCACAAGCAACTTTTCTCTTTTTTAGGCAAGTGCTCTAATTTAATGACGGATGGTAGTGTATTCCCAAATGACTGTCTCTATGGCTATGAAGAGAGCACCATAGAAACTTATCTTCCATCTATCTATTTTCAGCTAAAAGTCTGATGATTAGGTTGTGTGATACTCTACAGCCGAGCTTGGGCCCAAAAGGTTTGGGAATAACAGAGGCAAGTATTTGGTGTACAAATTCTGTGGCTGAGAAGAGTTGCCTTTCTATCTAAGGTTCTCAAAAAAGATCAGTTAACTCATGTCTTTCCAGGTTAAAGGCAGGTAAGCACCCCTGTCATTCGTAGGGCAGGAAGATTTTTGAAGTTATTGTGAGCCTAAAGATGGCTCAAGATTCAGATAAAGTCTTCATAGGGTTTATAAGAGTTTTGATGTAGACTTAGGCATCTAGGTCCCACTGAAGCAGTGAGATGCTTTTGAAAGCCCTACTTACCTTCAGCAACTGGAAAAATTGAACACTTAATAAAACAGAAAGACTGATTGGTTTTCAGCCGAATGTATTTTTGATCAAGAATATATAAGCAGCCCTGTGCATAGGTGCCCTGTGAATGTAAGAGAAGTGCTAATGCACCTCTGTGAAACAGGAAATACATGGAAGATGAAGATAGTGGCTGAAGCCTTTTCATACCTGTCGTCACTTGTCAGCGTGTTTTGCCAAGAGATGGAGAAGTTGGCATGCCTTTGAATTTTGTTGTAGAACAAGAGTAGGGTACTTCTGGGTGCCTTTGTCTTAGCTGTGAATTTCCTGCTTCTATCATTTGTGTATTGTATTTTGTCATTCTTTTACTTATGAAAAACTTTTGACTTGTAATATGTTCTCGGACTATAGGTGTATGCCCTCAAATTCATATCAGCTTTACAGGAGTTATGCAAGGAAAGATACTTAATTTCTCTTTCAGAGAAATTGAACTGAGCTGGAAAGTTGTCTTCATACAGGTGACAGACGTTTTGCAAGGGAGGCCCTACCCAGTGTTCCCCAGCAATCTTGAGGCCAAAATTTTCCTTTGGTGGCCTGGCCACCTTGTCTCATGCTCACGAAGTTGCTGTGTGGTATCAAGAAGTCCTCCCTGGTGGATGTAAGAGACAGCAGCTGTCTTTTCTGTTGCTCAGGACTGAAGTCTCTCTCCTTTGAGGAGCAGCAGTTGTATAGAAATGAATGAGGCTGTACTCAGGACAGCTGTGTGGGCCTGGAGTTGGCATGTGTAGATGGTAAGAGACTGTGGAGCGCAGTTGGCCAAGGACAACTCATCAGCTTTCACTGACTTAGGGGGGAATTGATCAGCTCTGAGCAAGGACTTTGACCAGAAATCTTGGGGAACTCATCATAAGCTGAGAAGAAATTTCACTTCCTTCTCCTCAAGTGTCTCAGATGACTGGATTGTATTTTGAACAGCATTTTTTCAAGGAAAAAAGTCCAGGAACTTAGTTTTATGAAAACAAAAAAGCATCCTCCAGAAGGTGTGCAGATTATTGTGTCTAAACTAGTGCCACACAACTGTCGTTTTTGATTTGCTTCAAAGTTTTGCTGAAAAATACACCTTAGCTCTAGAAAAATTTTACCCCACATTAAGGCACTAATGCACCACTGCTGTTTGTGCATATGAAGGCCTTTCTGTGGCGAAGAAAAGGAGAAAAGTTAGATTTAAAATGGAAACGTTTATTGTAGTCTTAATTCCAGAGTGACTGTCCCTTTTCCATAATTTCTTTCCCAAACAATTGG